ACCTGCTCTGAGTTTCCTGGTGTGGTTGCTGGCATGCTGAATGTCTGGAGGGGTTTGAGGGGTTCCGTGCATGGATTTCTTTCGCAGGTTCAGATCAAATAATGTCATGAACCTTTGTCCAAAATTCCTCAACTTTCCAAGGCTCGCTGTCCAAGTGAAGGGCTGAACCACCCCCCACCAAGGAAGTATCCATGGCATCCATATAGTCTAGTATGACCAGATGTCCCAATTTTATAGGGACAGTTCCAATATTCAGGGCTTTGTCTTATAGAGGCACCTATTACCCCCCATCCCCGTCCCAATTGGACACCCTAACATAGTGTCAACCAGATGGAATGGGGTTCTCACCAGGGGCAGCCTGCTTGTGGGAGATTCCCAGCCTGGTTTCTGCTCCAAAGATGGTTCAGCTCGGAGAACATCCAAGCTCTTAGGAGCACTGATGCCCAGGGACAGTGGGTGGAACTATCCCACTGACTGGGAGAAGAGTAAGACACACCTTCTTTATCTTGGTGTTGCCTAAACAAGAAGCAAAGACCTCTGGATTATTGTCACCTCACCAATCAGAGCACTGCAATAAGGGCTGCAGCAGGGGTTAGGGAAGGGAGTGATTGGTCCTCTGCTTGGCCACCTTTACAGCAGGTTGGATAATGGGTGCTGACTTGGAGAAACCCATATATGGGGAGGGATGGACTGTCCTGGCAGAAGCTGCCTTCTCCCTACAAACCCTTCCCCCACACTGAAATAACGAGGACTCTCAATCCTCATGCTCTAGGACAACAGCTTGGGTCAGGAAGAATTTCCCCCGGTGCGATAGGACTGCACAGCTAGGTGCATTATGGAAGAGGGGATTGACACCTTGCTTCAAAGCATCTGGAACTTTAGCAGCCAGGATGCAGGGCTAGATGGGCCATTGAGCTGCTCTGGTGTGAGACCAGGCCAATTACTGGCTGCCAGCCTCATGTACTGGACTCAGTCTGCAAGGGAGCCAAAGGATAAACTCTTCTTGAGATATTTTGGGGTGGACTGGGAATCTGACCAGAAAGACTGTTCCAGGGACACCTCTAGCTGGATGGTCAGACACTGGCCAGTCTGGATAAGTGGCTGGTCATTTGCCAGTCATGGGAGACCTTCTCTAACTCAAGTGGGGTCTGTGCAGTGGAGCTGAGGAATTGGATTCTAGTCCAGGGTCTGCATGGGCAGGTGTGTAATATATGTAGTAACAGTGTCTGTTCTCTGCAGCACATGCATTCATTCCACTCTCCTCTGAGTGATGCCACAACGAGACTCAGGGAGGTTGTCAGAAGAGCTGGTTGGAAAATTCAACTTTTTTGGCTGACATTTCAACTTTCGCTGAAAAAAAACCCAGGGCAAAATGTTTGCTAAATAAATAAAAATCACAGCCCTTTTTTGGACCAAGAGTCAAAACACAAGCTCCAGCCCTTCCAGAAAGCAGCCAATACACTCGGTGCTTTTTGTGCTGGCGAAGACCCAGCCCCCTCCCTTCAAATGGGACAGCCCTGGGGGAAACATCACTGCATTGTTACAACAGAGAATCCCTTTTTTTTCTTTTTTTTAAAAAGGCCTTCACATCCATTGAGTTTTTGCTTTTTTTTAATTTTTAATATATCCATGTTGTTGTGGTTTTTTTTGTTCATTTTTAATTTTTGTTTTTTCTTTTTAACAGTGACAGGAACTGAGGTAACACCTGTGACACTATAACCTCTCCTACAGGAAGAATATCCACAACCCGACAGCCAAAGGAATTACCACCCCCCTCGACAACCTAATAACAACAATGCAACGGAAAAAATATCACACACACACACACACACACACACACCCTAGAAAATCAACAAACCAACCAGAAAAATAAAAAAGTTCTATGTGGTGTTCTTATTCCTTATCTACATTATTGCACGAAAGATCAAGGACATTGAGGGACCTAAGGCAAAAAGGAGAAATTGCGACTCTATTATCTAAATCTGTGCAATGCTACCTCTAAAAAATACTCGAGCCCTGGTCTTCCCCAGAGCACAGGGTGACACCTAAACAGGAGGGCAAACGGATTGCGTTCACCCAAAACGTGGACTGCTGAGGAGGGGGCGACGCTGGGTGTTGTAATGTTGGGGATGGGGGGAGAGGCCCAATGGATGGGATTGGTGATGCCAAGGAAGGTCAGGAGATTCAGGGGTCAGCAGGCTGCTAGTCTGAAGGGTAGGAGAAGCCTCTCAGATGCTGTCCCTTCCTCACCATGGATAGGTAGTCGTTTGGGTGGATCAGTCCTGCCAAGGGATGGAGCAATGGGCTATCAGACATGGTGCCCCTTGGATACTGTACCCAGAGGTTCTAGAGAGTCACCATTGGTGCCCTGGCAATGGTGGGGAAGGAGGCCAGGGCTGGGTGTGTGCTATGGTCGGCAATGGTTATACAGAAGACACACCTTTGCTTTCTGCTGAAGTCCAGTGGCACTGGCTGTCGGGTGTCCCCTGCGTGTTGGGTGCGGGGCTCAGACCATGCCCGCCCGCCTGGTGTCTGTTTGTAAACTGCTGTTGCTGCTTAATAGCGTGATAGCCCTTTTTGCAGTAGTGAGTGAGTTGGGCCGTGCCCAGAGGCCGGGGCTGGGGGGCGGGAGCTGCTGGCCAGTGCGACACCTCCACTCAGCCAGTCCAACTCCCGTCCCCTGAAATGGCCCCTGGGGAGCACAGCCAGCCCTGGGGAGTCTGGGACAGGGCGGGGTGGGGGAGCAGAAGGGTGGACAGCACAGCTCTGTGTCACTAAAGCACCAACAGTGCCCAGCCCACAGCAAGCCGGGTGGCAGGACTAACCATGTCTGTGCCCACACTGCAAGCCACTGGCAAGGGGGCCAAGCCAGATGCTCGACAGGGATCTGTCTTTGCTGCAGTGCTAACCCAAGCGCCTACTCGCATCACCCTCCCTTCCCATCCCCACACAAGCCTGATGGTGCTTTACACTCGCGCTAGCTGGCCTGGGCTATAAGCTAAAACCCGGGTGCTGATTATGCTTGGACTGGTAACCTGCCCACTTTGCAGTGAGGACGCCACCTAAACCACTCATGTTCTGCTAGTCCTCTGATGACCTTCCCACAATCCCCTCCCTGCCATGAGCCCAGAAGGGCAGACAGGTTCCCCATAATTCACTGGGAATGCATCATAGACAGTGGCTCAGCTCGCTGCAGTGCAAAGCACCATGGGACGGGCCACCCCAGAAGTCCTAGCGACACACACAGCGAGCGCAGCACCAGATGCAGCTGCATTTGGCTTTGCACAGTGGCTGTTCACATCGGGCTAGAATCTGGGCACTGAGAACACCCCGCCTGTCGCATGTTAGCTCTGCAGGGAAGATCTGCCCTGAGGTGCAGGTGGGGTAGGCGCATGGCAGATCATGGGGACAAGTGAAGCCCCCCTGTGGGATGGCAGGGATCTGTAGTCCCTGATCTCAGGAGGAAGTCCCTTTGGTGCATGCCCTTGATTGAGAAAGAGCCCATATGCCTTGCTCTTCCAGTACCCTGGGTACCCTCTGCTCAGGGCCAGAGCTGGGAGGCAGCAGAAGCGAGTCTGGAGGAGGCAGCTGAGCCAACCCTGTGGGCACCTCCTTGCAGAAGCCAGAGCCCCAGACACCCCCTCAGGGCCTGGGTCCCATTTGTGCATGGCCTAGGGCTCTGCAATGAACTGCTTCCCCACCTCACCACCCCCAATGCCCACAGGACCGTCTCTGGCTCTGAATACATGTTAATTCGATCCCCCGCACAGCCCTGGGCTGGGCGTTCAGCCCCCTTGCTCCAGAGCCAGCCGGGGGGGGGGGGGTGGGAAGAAGGGAAGGGAAGGGTTAGTTACTGATTGGACCTGCTAAGGCCCTTTCCCAACTTGCCCATGGAGAAGGCAACTCCGGCCTCCAGGTCTGATTCAACAGGAGACCAGAGAAGTGCTTATATCCAACCCTGCCCCTCACACACACCAGCCCATCTCTCTCACACACACTCCCACCTCACACACACACACACACTCCGATCTCTTTCTCGCTCACACACACCCTCCGATCTTTCTTGCTCCTGTCGCTCGCTTAAACACACACTCCCACCTCTCTCTCACACACCCTCCCATCCCTCGCTTACACACATACTCCCATCTCTCTCTCTCTCACACACACACGCCTCCCACCTCCCACCCCCAGATCTCTCTCTCTCTCTCACACAGACACATACATATCCCAGCTCACACCCCCCTTCACCCTCCCATCTTTCTCACTCACACGCACACACCCTCCCATCTATCTTACACACACACCTCTCCCATCACACACATACTACATGCACACACCCCACATATATATCCCAGCTCACACACACCCCCAACACACCCACACCACCTCCTATTACCAGGGCCAACTCCAGCGTTTTTGCTGCCCCAAGCGATCGGCAGCACTTCGGCGGCAGCTCTACCGCCGCTGCTTCATCCTTCAGCGGCAATTCAGCAGCAGGTCCTTCCCTCCAAGAGTGACTGAGGGACCTGCCGCCGAATTGCCGCTGAAGAGCCGGAAGTGCCGCCCCTTTCTGTTGGCCGCCCCAAGCACCTGCTTGCTGCGCTGGTGCCTGGAGCCGGCCTGTGGCACCCTGCCACTACCACAGGGCTGGGGACTTCCCACCATCCTTTGGCCACACCGGGGTTTGCGAACCTTGCCTGCCAGTGACCGAGCTGGGACCAGCTGAGTCAGCAGATGCCAGTCAGCCTCCTGCTCCTGCCACAACACAGCCCAGTAATGCAGGTATGTGTGTGTGTGTGGGTGGGGGGGTTGATACCACAGCTAGCGAACAGCTTTTCTGTCCTTCAAATCCTTGTTAACAAGTGAGAGGTTGTTTATCCAATAAGTATCCTTTAAACCAAAGTATTTTATCCAATTCAGCATTTTCTGTGATTAGGATACAAATATTGATGAAGATGATATGTCATTTTAAT